ATCCGACCTGTCCCAACATTATAGCAGGCGTCCGGCGGCATCCATTCGGATGAAATTCGTCGCAGAGAGCAGCTCCCTTTTGGGTGGAACATTGTTCTATAAACTAATTACACGGCACCTATACGACTGTCCCAAAGGGCAACCACGTAGCCGTTTTTGAGACAAGGATAACTCTATCACTAACCAAACCAGTGGTAGCAGTTGACATCTGAGTCAGATGACCGCCTGTATTACTTGGGATAAATGCAGGGGGTACCTATTGAGTTAATAGCCAACAAACATTGGCGAATCAAGGGGTCTAGCCGGCCTACGCCGCCTGGTACCTCTACTTCTCAAACAAAAGTGACGGCGACTGAGTAACTCCAAAGTTAACTCATAGTCACTCCTTCAAATTTGGTATGGAACCTAAAAAGTTTGAGTCGTCCGCCTGTTTTATACAAACAAGGGCACTCGAACCCCTATTCCTACTGGATAACCTATTGAGTAAATAGCCAACAAACATTGGTAAATCAAGGGGTCTAGCCGGCCTACGCCGCCTGATACCTTTACTACTCAATCAAGATTGTGACGAAGACTAAGTAACTCCTATGTTAACTTAATAGTCACTCAAACTTAGTACTGAGCCTAAAAGGTACGAGTCGTCCACTTGTTTTTAATAAACAAAGGCTCTCAACCAATACTCTTGCTAGGTTAACAAATAACAAATTAGAGGCCAACATTGGCAATAAAGGGAAACAACCGGTACCCGCCGCTTGTTTTCCTACTTAAATTCCTTGGCTACTTGGTAATTCTATTTACTTGGTCAAATTGAATAAAGAGTTCGAATACCGATTGATTAAATGGCCGACTGATCATCTATCCTGGAAACAGACAACCAGTCGTCCAGGGGCATAGGCGGCATACTTACTATTTGTACCTGTCTTAACGTTCGGCCATACACAACAGTCTGTCTAGTGAGCAAATTTCAAATACTTAGACAAATTTGAACAAAAACAAAAAATTTGATTAAAATGAGCCGGCCATAAAAGACCAGCAGAATATTCAAAACCCCGGCCCCCTGGCCGGGTAATTACAAAGCAAACGGCACGCAGGCCGTGGAAAGAAAAAATATACTTAAAGCTTAAGAAGGGGGCAGTTCAGTATCAGCAGCAGCCGCCTGGTCAGCACTCTTCTTGCTGGACTCGGCCTTAGCTGCATCATCTTTTGATGCCTTACCCCCAAGTGGCACAAGCGCCACAACCGGCTCTTCCTCCTCCAACGCAACGTCCATCGCCTCTTCTTCAGCAGCCGCCAGGATCTGTTGATTATATATTTCCGAACACTGGCGGTACGTTCTTTCCCATGAGGCAAAGTCGGCACTGGGGAACAGTCGTTCCCAGGTCATGCGTTGGATTTGGGCGGAGTCTTCCACCATCTCCCGGACGAGCTCTTGTTTCTCTTGCTCGGCCTTGTCCGAGAGCTCTTGGGTAAGACTCTTCTCCTGGTTCACCAGGCGTTCTTTTACGTTAGCCAAAGATTTCTCCATGGCTTCGTAAGAGTGCATTTTCTGACGAAGGGGCTTCAGCTCGGCTTTAAGTTTGGTGACGGTCCCCTCCAGCTCGTCAACCTTCTTTTGGGCCGCCTCTAGCTGAGCCCGAACAGCGGCGGTCGCCTGCGCCTGATAATAAAGAAGATCAATGGTCAGTACTTCATTTTGGGCAATTTGAAACATTGCTTTATCACAGCTGGAGGCGGCCATAGCCTTTGCGGCCTTTACCTCTTTGTTTTTCCGATCAATCGGCTTGCGAAGGCTGTTGACTCGGAGCAGGGCCTAAGTACAAAGAAAAACAGGCGTCAGTTTCCAATCATAAGGGTTAACAGGCGTCCTGGAACTTCAAAAGGGTATACCTCAGCTAGGATCCCCGAAATTCCATCGAGGTCAAGGGTGCCGGCACCCTTGACCGCCTCCCTGTCAGAGGGAGGAACTACTTTAACCATTGACTTGGCTACCTCAACCAAGTCAAGTCCCTGGGGGCCGGCTGCATTAAGCAGAAGGAAAAACAAGTTAGACCTAATCAAGAAGGAAGCAAGAGTGAGTTTTTACAAGCAAGTGTCCATACATCTAGGCGGCCCCGCCTGGGTTTTTGAAGAAGTGGCCGGCTGCTTCTCAGCCGCCACTGTTTTCCTGGAAGACCCAGGAGAGCTTGCAACAGTCGTTCTCCGGGCCTTGGGGTCCGGCTGTTGCGAGGAAGAAGCCCTTGGAGTGCCAGACTGAAAACAAAAAGAGTTAGTATATGCATAATACAACTTAAAGGGGAAGAGTTTTCAAAGCTTACCAAGGGTGCCTCCTTGCTGGGGGAGTCGGCGTACGACTGCTTCATTAGCGAAACCCGCAGCATGGCCGCCGCAGTCTTAGATGCTGTTATTTTACTCATGGCGTCGGCTGAAAGAAATAAACAGCAAAGTTAGTAAAAATCCCAAGTAAACAAGGCGTGAGAAAACAGAGTATTCGTCAGGCCGGCTACCTCTAGAGCACCGACTGCCGAGGCCACAGGCGGCCAAGAAGTACTCATCATAGAGCCACTTGAAGCTCGGGACGCAGTGTAGGGGTACTTGCTCTCGTACCCCTGAAGTAGAGTTCACCCTAGTCTCTACTTTGAAGAGTCCTTTGTCTAGGATCTCTCTTTTAGCCTTTGGGGGAACAGGCGGCATGCTGCGGCCGCCTGCAAGAAGAGGCGGATCCCTGTTCCACTTGTTAAAACGTTTGTTCAGCTCCGTGTCTGAACTCTCGATAATAAGGAAGGTGTTCCGCCAATCCTTCCATTTGTTTGCCTTACCTCTCGTCATGAGGTAACCCCTGTGGCTTGTTAGTTGATACCAGCCGGTACCTCCCGACTTAGGGGTCCGGCTGAGATAGTTCATGTGGGCGAAAGCCTCAAAACTTGGCTCCACCCCGTTCAGTTCGCACCCGGCCACATAGCCGAGTACGTTTACCCAAGAGTTGGGGGCTAACTGCCATAACCCCAGATCATACCCATCTAAAATCCGCTGAACAGCCGGATGTAATGGGAAGCGCAGACCAGCTTTGATGGCCGCCACATAGCAGCCAAAACAGCCGTCACCATAGCTGGTACCAGCCGGCCAGACGACAGTATCTTCTGGATCCGGCACAAACAGTAAATACTCCGGGCCCATTTTGTGGTTAGCAATAAAGCTCGCCACGTTGTCTCGCATGGTTGCGATCCGGCCCCGGGGCACCCTGCAGTAGTAGGGGGTGTTTTCCTCTCTGTAAGAGGCGGACGGCTCTGCCCAATTATCCCCCTTCTCCACTGCATGGGAACTTCTCGCCTCTTGTAGGCGGTTATGTTTTTCTTCTGAGTCAGAAGACCTATGGTCAGAAGAGCTGGAATCGGACTCGTCCCCTGACGAGTCCGAAGAGGACGACTCCTCCCCTCTCCTAGAGGGGCCCGCCTCCTCTCCCTTAGAAGGAGCAGAAGGTAAATTAGACATGTCCACGGTTAGATGAGAAGGGAACACCTTGGTCCCTCTCTCAGAACTGTCAGCTTGACAGTCGCCTCGTTCCACATCTGGCGCCTGGTCAGATGTTTCGCTAAGGAGTACCCTTTGGGAGGAGCCGTCTGAGTTTGATATTCTAGCAGTCTTTTTTGTTCTGGCCATCACGTTCTGCATAGACACAGATTCAGTCGGACTTTGTATAAAGGGCAAAGATGGGTCCAGAAAAGGGCAGGCGGCACTCCTAGTCCTAGATTCAGCCGTCCCCGGTGACCGGCTGATCACTAACTTAGGGCGTGTCGTGTGCTTCCATGGTGCCATTTCAAAAAATAAAAAGAAAATTAAGAGTAAGAGAACTGAGTTACCTGAACGGATGACAGTTGATGAAGTCCTGAAAGTTCGGGTCAGTCGGCTTGTCAGAACAGGCGGTAGGCAGAAAATGTCCGAAAATGTCAGAGCAAGTTCAGGGGTCCGAATGTTCTCGCAAAAATTCTCAAATGTGAAAATGACCGAAGTCAGCACTTCCTTTTATAGGCAAAATGAGAAGGCGAAGGGTCGCTTCCGAATTCAAATTTGGGCGGGAGAGTCTCCCGGCCGTCTGCAAGGTGACACCTGTAACGGGCCGTCGCCTGTCACCGTGCGACACCTGTCACAGGCGACACGTGACCAGTCGCGTGCCACCTGTGAGGGGCAAATGATTAGGGGATTTTTATTCACCAAGCGCCGTTTGACAAGTGGACCAACCAGGTTCCGCCACGCGTCCTCCACGGACCACTTAAGACACGCCACGTGTCCACCCATGCCAAATGGGACAACCGGCCATCAAGGCCCATTTCAGTCTAGAAGCCCGTTCGGCCCTAGGTTTACCTTAAACCTAGAGAGTTGCACGCTTCCCAAGGCTATAAATACTCGATTAATCCTCATTAATCAAGGGACCGAATACATTACGGAACACACTAATAACCGGCTGATCTCGCTAGCAAAGCAGATTACCTACATTAATTACTCTCACCTAGAGAGACCTTATTACTTTAATTTCTGTATTAATTACTCCTTAATCAGGTACTAACTTGACCGTTGGAGGCGGAGCTCTCAGGAGTCTCCGTTATTTTGCAGGTACAGGCGTCCGGTTCCAGTCTCGGAATTGTAACTCTCCCGCAGGACATCAGAAAACCCCGAAACAGAATGGACCGGATTGCACGGAGCGACAATGGACTTGAATTTTATGGTCTGGGTCAAGTCTAAATTGGTCCGAGTACTTTTTGTACACCCCTACTCTCAACTACATTTGATTCTTACAATTTTTTATTTTTCCACCTACTTCCACACCTCTATATTTTATTAATTTCTCCTATTTATCCTAAAACCCCGTGCATGTAAAAATGGAGCAATTATTTAAAACGGAGGAACTATAAACATAAAAGAGTATGTAGATATATAACTATCATCAAATGTGTCACAATTTACAATCATCATTATGTGGGTCCCTTTCCATGCTAATCCTCCCAAAAAAACAAATTCTCTCATAATGTTGAACTACCCACAAAGCCCACAAATTAAACCACACAATCATAATTATGTCCCTAATTATAAAATTTGAAAAATATTTTCCAGGCAATATCCAACCAACACAATCTCAGGAAAAATACTTGAGAAATTAAGGCAAAAAAATAAAGGATTTTGATTCCTTCATTTTCGAATTCAAAATTTTCTCCAAATGTCATGGCTAGCTCGCTCCATAGCCAATTCCCTCCGCATCGACGATGACGACGACACCACTCTTCCGCCACCATCTTCGTCGCACAGCCGCCGCGAAAAACCGCCGGCGTCGGTAATCTCCGTTGAGGAGAGAGAAAATATAGAATTTGATGGAGATCTGCGTGGTGTCAAAGATGATCTCAGCGAATTCAAAGAAACCCTTACTCGTCAACTTTGGGGCGTCGCTAATTTTCTCGCTCCTCCTCCTTGTACAGCTTGTTCTTCGTCTTCGCATGATCATCGTGTTGTTCCTGAGTTGGATCGTTCGGAATCGATTTCGGGCGTTGAAGATGATGATGAATCGTTGGTGTATGGTTTAAATTCAACGGAAGATGGAAATTATTCAGATATTGGGGATAGGAATTTAGGGAATTGTGAATCGAGTTCAAGTTTGCATCGATTGGGATTGCAGAAAGTTGAGGAGGAAGATGATGATTGGGTTAAGGAAGCTGTGGGATTAACTGATGAGGTTTTGACATTTGCTGGGAATATTGCGCATCATCCTGAGACTTGGTTGGATTTTCCTGTTGAAGAAGATGAAGATTTTGAAGGTATATTTATTAACTTTGTCTTTTTTGAATATTATTTGAGATGTTCTGAATGATATTCTGATTTAAGCTTGTTTCTGTATATTTGTTTAAATGAAATTTGGTCAATATGTCTATACGAATATGCAATCTTTATGCTTGCATTTATTTGATTTATTGTTAAATGAAATTTGGTCAATATTCTCTTTGAGAATCTGTAGGAAGGATTTGAGTCGATTAACAGTGACTTCAATCACCTTTCTTATTATTGGAATATAAGTTTATCAGGGGTTCAGGGATAGATAATTTTCAGTGCCTTGTCTGTGGGCTTATACTCAAATGGTTGATAATTTGGTTATTTTATCAGTAATTAGCACAGAAAGTTTGAGGAAGCTCACTTCTTATTTTATAGCTTACTAACTTGTGCTGCTGATATGTTTTTGTAGATTTTCCCATGTCAGAGTCTCAGAAGAGGCATGCTCAAGCTGTTGAACACCTCTCACCGAGGTTAGCAGCACTCAGAATTGAACTTTGTCCGGCTCATATGAGCGTGGGGTTTTTCTGGAAAGTCTATTTTGTTCTTTTGCATTCGAGGCTTAATAAACAGGATGCTGATCTGCTGTCTACACTTGAGGTGAGTCTCTTTAGCATTCTTTTTGTTGTGCAAGGTCATTATGAATTTTCTAAATTTCATGCTTCCCACGAGGGTGAGCTGCCGAATATCAATATTAAAAAAAAAAAAGGTTTATTTTGAACATTATTGTGGTTGAGAGTTTCAAAGTAGCTCTTTGTGCAGCCTTTTTCTTTGATCTAAAGATTGGAAAACATATTCTTGTCTACGAGTATATTGTCATATGTTAACCGAGTGCCATTTGACTTGTAAGAGGGAACAAAGCAGGTACGAATTATAATGTTTCATCGTACAATGCCCATGAGATTAGGGAGGTGCAATTATGGATGAATTTGAAGTATTGTAAGAACTAGATATTAAATGAAAAGCAATACCAAAAACACAAAAAGGGATTGTTCCATTAAATTATCTCATATATATAGGGAAATATTGCCCGGAATAATCCCACCTTTGGGCCGTCCGCCCAAAATAATCCCACCTTTGGATTATTTTTAAATAATCCGACCATAGTCAATTCGCCCGCAATGGTCCCAACCGGCTAACTAACCTGTTATAACAAGTCACCTGACACGTGTTGGCCTACGATTGGAAAAAAAATAAAAATAAAAAAATTAACAAAAGTTTTTTTTAAGAAAAAAATAGAAAAAACTAATTAATTATTTTGAAAAATCCCACACTAGTCAAAACCACCCTCCCCGCCGCCCGTTCCCACGTGCCAAGCTGCCGGACTCTCCTGACCCGCAGTGCCGATCGCCCAGGGCAGCGCCGACGCCCTCCCTCCCCTCCCCCGAACCATCAATCTCCCTCCCACCACCACGAAAACCCTAAACTCTAGATGGCCGAAAACACCTTGAGAACCCTAAAAAACCCTCGATCCCAGCCCCCTTTCCCTTCTCCGGTCCCTTTTCCGGCTATCTCCCTTCCCCTACGCCCCCATTTCGTCCCTTATCTCGTTCCCACGTCTTGATTTTGGCACTTCTCCTCTTCGTTCACCTTGATGTCGGTAATTGTTTTGGTAAATTAGTGGCGACGGAAGGGGATGGGGAGGGTCGGAGAACGGCGTCGGGGTTTGCGGTTTGGTTGCGGTGGAGATGGCTTCTCCGGGCCTCGTGGTAGGGGCGGCGAGGTGGCTGGTTTAAATTTTAGTTTTTTTTTTTGTTTTTTTTTTAAAAATAGCTAATTAATGTTAATTATTAATAATCATTTCTTAAAACAAAATAAAAATATTTTTTTAACCAATCACGTGATGACACGTGTAAATTAAACTTTAAAAAAAAAATTACCTACTCAACTCGTTACAGGTCACTTGGGACCATTAGGAGCGGATTAGCTATAAATGTCGGATTATTTAAAAATAATCTAAAGGTGGGATTATTTTGGGCGGACGATACAAAGGTGGGATTATTCTGGGCAATTTTTCCTTAATATAGTCGTCTTTTGTTCAGTTCAATAACCACTTTATTATGTGCTTCAATGGGTCTAAACTAGGAAGATAGCCTACTTAAGCACTGGGTTGTAAATTAGCTGATATACTTTTTATCGGCAATTAGAAGTCACCGACCAAAAATTGTTTTTAAAAAATCAGCATTTGGAAAAAATAAATTGTTGGATTAATACACATACGGACATACCTTACAATTATTTTTGCTTCTCAAAGCTTTATTTACCTCCAAACTTTGTTTTCTAAATTCTACTTCTATAAATAAAAACTATCTTGAAACATCACTGAACTAAACCTATTATTTATTTATTTATGACCTTTATTAGAGTTTTGAATTATTTAAAATGCTGATGTATACTTGGAGCTGTTGCTAGGCTTGGTGTTAAGTAAAATTGATGCTAAAGCTTATTCCATGAATAGAAGGTCAACTAGTCATGTACAACGAAAATTGACGAGGACTATGTGGTATGAGGGAACTTTATTTAACGGGGGCGGAACCAGGAATTTTATTTAACGGGGGCCAAAGTAAAGGGAACTACGATGACGATAAAAATAATGAACATTTTCACACATCAATTTATTAATCCACATATCACAACAACAAAAATATATTTTATATAAGCAATGAATATAGAGTTATAGAACATATTCCAAAAAAATTACCATAGTACTACATGAAGAAAAACATACCTTATCATTTATCTTATATCATTTTAGTTGTGCTCGTCTCTCTTTCATCATATAAAAAGCATCAATGATGGCATCTTCACTAAGTGTTTCCGCTATCTCCTTTTCTATATACACTATTAAGTAGTCCTTCAAAAAATCGTCCTCCATCTTACTTCGAAGGTTTGTTTTCACTATCTTCATGGCTGAAAAAGCTCTCTCAGTTGTTGCAGTAAATGCTGGAAGAGTTAATACGAGACGAATTAACCTTGAAACAAGAGGATAATCTTTTATTTTTTCTGTAGTCACTAATCCTTGACATAAATCACCAAGAGTAGTTAAGTTCTTCAACACTGGATGAATAGGAATATCAAGCCAATAATGTTGCAATTCATAACTCAAATGATCTTTCTCATGTTCTGTGAAATCAATAGGATAAAAATCTCGAGCTAGCTTGCAAATATGCTCTATATTGAATGACTTGTAACCATCTCTTGGATTCAAGGCCGCACTTAAAATGAGAAGTTCAGTAGCTCGCTCACTAAATCTTGCGTTTAGCTCTTGCAATTGACGATCTATAGCAGCCATAAATATATCAACTCTATAGTGATGTTCCATTGTCACATTGTCTTTTTGTCTTGATTGTTGCCTTATAGATTTAAGCACATCAACATAAGGAGAGTCCATGTCGGGAACTGTAACACCATTTTTCTCACAAAAAACTTTAACATTATGTAGCAAACTCTCCCACCCATCATTCCTTAAAGTTTGAAGTAATGTCTTTGTAGTGCAAACTAATTGCATTGCATTTACAATATCTTGGGTCTTCAATTGTAGTGCTTGACAAAGTCCATCGGTGATGGCCATAATCTCCTTCACAACATGTATGTTAAATACGAATTCAAATGACATTAACAACTTAACTCCATTAAGAGCATCTCCTCTCTGAGCATAAGTTGTTCCTTCACTAGCTATGTTAGCAAGAACTAAGCGAGTAGCACAATACATTCTTAACAAACTAGATATTGACTTGTAATGCGAGCTCCATCTAGTATCACCTGGTCGTTGTAATGTACCGATTTGATTGAGACCTTTTCCCGTCTCAAGCCCCTCAATCTCAACTAGATGTTCAATTTCAGCCAATTGAGTTGCTTGTAACTCGTCATGTCGCTTTGAAGAGCTAGTGACCACATTAACAACAAAAATCAATTGTTGAAAGAAAGTATGAATATGTGGCACTTCCCTAGATGCAGCAACAAGAGCTAGTTGTAGTTGATGTGCCAAACAATGAATGTAATAGGCATAAGGACACTCCTTCATAAATAAAGCTTGTAACCCATTCCACTCTCCACGCATATTACTTGCACCGTCATACCCTTGACCTCTAATATTTTGAAGGTTAAGGTTATGATGAGACAAGACAACACAAATTTCTCTTTTTAATGTTTTTGATGTAGTGTCTTTGACATGGACCAAATCCAAAAATCGCTCTCTTACCAATCCACTTCTATCAACATATCTCACTACTAATGTCATTTGTTCTTTCTTAGAAATGTCCCTAGACTCATCAACAATCAAACAAAACTTTGCATCACCAATTTCCTCACGTATACTATTTTGCACTTTTCTTGCATAAACATGTAGAATCTCCTTTTGGATTAGTGGAGAAGTGTATTTGGCATTCTTTGGGGCATTATCCAAAATAACCGAATCAACATCTTTATTATATGATGCTAAAAGTTTTAGCATCTCCAAGAAGTTCCCTTGATTAATTGAACTAGAACGTTCATCATGCCCTCTAAATGCACAAGCTTGGAAAGTTAACCATTTAACAGCATCTATTGATGTCTTAAGGCGTAAACGATTCTTGACAATCTCCTCTGCAGTTACTTTCTCTACTACTTTCTCAATGTGAGCGGATTGATTTTTGAGATTAAAATAACACTTTGTTGAAAAGTTATGAGCAGAATTGGAATCTTTCCCCATGTGACACAAAAATGCACAATCCTTCCCATTATTTACTTTCTTCCAATTTTTAAAGCCCTTCACTGTGAATGTATCCGAACCACATCTTCCAAGAGGCTTTTTAGCAAAAAGAAAGCAATAGAAACAATAAGCAGCATCCATTGTGGGAGAATACTCTAACCAAGGAAACTTCACAAACCAACTTTTTTGGAACCTACATGGGTGTTTTTCGGAACCAGAGTATGGATAATTATCAAGTTTAGGTTGATATGGCCCAAAATCAATGTAAGATCTCCTAATCAAATCTTTTTCATCTGAATCATATGTCTCAATTTGCTTACGCAACCCAGGATCACGCATTAAAAAATCAAGACCAATACCTTCTTCATTAGGCATTTGCTCATCAACATTGTCATTATTAATATTACGTTCGACTTCTTCATTATCAATGATAATTGGCTGATTTGGCTCAACAACAGGTATATCTTCATCACCCCTGCCCTTTTTTTGTGGAAGAAAATAAGAAGTGATATTCCTCTTTGTCATTCCTAAATTACAAAAATTAACAGCAAAAAAAGCATAATCAAATCTAATGATTATTGGGCAATATATCAAGTATAATTGCAATTGTATTAATTATTCTAATTATTCACAATTTTCATATAATTGTTTGGATTTACACATTTACTGATTTACATATACAATAAAAGTATTAAACCCCAAAATTTCTAATTCAAAATCTCACTCTAACTATTTATTCAACACACTAAACCTGTAATTAATATGAAAATTGAAGTAAACAAACAAGATTAAGTAGAAATTGATAATTAAATTACCTGAATTAAGGAAAATCAACAACAGCAAGCAAGAAACTTCAATGGTGATATGTACTGTTTGTTTCGTCACTTTGGGGGTTTTCACTGCTTTCCTTTTGTAATTTTGTGTTGAAGTGAATTGTAATGTTTGCAAGTTGTTATTTTTTTATTAGATAATTCTTTTATCTTTTATTTTTATTTAGTTGCAATATTTATATTTTGTCTTATCTAACAATATAATATAGTAGAATCTAGAAATATCAAGTACCAAACTCATCACATGCGTTAATATTAGTACATAAAGTGTGAGTTTGGTTTTGTATTAATTTTTTTTTATTTGTTTGGCGGGGGCCACATGAATTTTTTATACTTTTACTTGTACTAAAATCCAAATATTACCAATGTAAAGCAATTCACTTGAGGGGGGCCTTGGCCCCCTTTGGCCCCTACTATCTTCCGCCCCTGTTTACCTATCTTAATGTTTTGGCGTTTAGTTTGCCATCTCAAATGACTTGATCATCATTGAAGTATTTTTTGCTTATCATTTTCATTCATTTCATTCTTGGCCATACACGATTTGCTATGAGTAGTGTTCTACATTATCGTATAACAAATTGTATTGTACTGCTTACCATGTAACAATGGTCCTCCTGCTCACCATTCCTCCTCCACTTTGAGAACCATGTGAACGGAGAGTGGGAAGAAGGGAAGGAGATCCTCATATGGAGTCTCACACTTCCTTGAGCAATCAATAGTTTTTTTTTTTTTTTAATTTCTTTTTCTTAGTGATTGGAAAGTGGGGGCCCTATTGACTAGACGTCAACCTCCCTCAATCAAAGGGAGACCCGTTTTCAATGCTAGTTGTTAAGTTATGGTGTCATTCTTACTATATCGTTGAATAGCATGGCCTGGTGCAAAATTAACTCAAGTAGGAGAGCCGTGTTATGGGTGACCTTATTGCACAGTGAGAGAGCACTTGTGTTTGTTTATGTGATGCAAGTGAACGTGTACGAAAAAGCCGCATTTAGGGATGAGTTCTTCGTTCCGTCGTCGACCCCAAGAACACGCTCATTCTTCTTTGAATTGCGAGGTACCTCTTAGACTTTAGATCTTAGCACCCAAAAATTTTGTTTGTACAAATGAACTTACCTGTCCGCCACAAATTTCTCATTTACCTTGTAGTGTCACCTCAAATTACTCCCTCTATCTATATTTGTTTTTCCTATCTGGAATCTTTTTGCGAGACAAAATTTTTTTAAGGGGGAAGAACAAATATGGATGGAGTAGCAGTTTAGCATCAGTTTGGGGGTTGAAATCTATTTGTCGAAGATTGAATGCCAACAATATTTGGATATAGGCTATGCTTAGCTCATCTTATTCAAGGCCCTTATTGTTTTTATATTCCCGACTATTTCAATATCATACTCCATCCATGTTAATAGTTGTTTTGGGGTTTTTCTCGTCCCTCGAGAGAGTTATGTCACCAAGTCTGGATTCAACGGACACTCCGGGTGGTTAGAGTTCCGCCTCCGACGATCAAGTTAGAACATGTTTGGAGAATGTAAAAAGGTGTGGAAAAGGTAAAAGTGAGATATTTTCGGATTTCGAGATTAGGTGTTTTCTCTGATATAAGACAATTCAGGTGTTGTATAAATGATCGTGTCCCAGAATTGTTGGAAATTTCCCTATTTATAAGGTCGTTGGAAATGGTTCCCTCTCTTGGGTCACTTTGACCTACATATGGTGGGTTGCGCCGTTTTACGACTTTCTCGAGAATTGGGCCTTGAAGGCCGCATTTCCTTTGCTGATTGGGGATGCTACGTGTCAACTAGTGAGTGGTCCATGTTGGGCCTGTGTGGGATGACACGTGTCCCTCTATGATTGGGCCACGTAGCAAGGGTATTTTTACCCAAAACAATAGTATTACCATAAATCCATTAGATATCAGTAAGACAAATATCTCATCATATTTTAGTTGTAGTCAGAATATGACTTAGGGCGGATCTTTGTTAGGGCGAGCAAGAGCCCAACCCCCCTAAGTATTTTATGAGTTGTTTACTATAAGTAATATGATGTCTAATAATTGCATTTATAAAAAGTTGTGGCATAGTGATTAAGTAGTGTTACGGAGTATTAAGCAAAAGGTTGAAGGATCAAACATTGCCCCCCCCCCCCCACCCCAAAACTTTTGGCCCCGGATTAGCCATTGAATATGACCCTATTTTTAAGACATGCAGAGCTTCTAATTACTTGTGAAATATTGCCTCTACTTATCTTTTAGCCTCGGATAATGCAAAATCTGGATTTAGTGTCCATCTGTAAATATTCCGGCATTGTAGGCCTTGTGGAAAAAATCTCTTAAAGCTCATGTATGAGATGAAATGCAATCCTGGAGGTGAGTTCCAGCACCGTGTCTTCCCTGCTTACAAGTAATCTAACTGGAAAGTCATTTAATAAGTTCAGAATAATATAACGCTAACTGACCAGCAAAAAATCTTAGTCAGCACTACAAGAGAGCACCTATTCTAGCTTCCAAACTATTCCATTATAATCTAAACAGCTTAGAGTTTATTAGAATATTTTGTATTGAAACATATTAAATCACATGATGAAATGATTGTTGTTTTAGCAGAGTATTTGTTCTTGTTTGAATGATGCCATTTTAACCTATCTTTATACTGTCTTTAAAACAATGGCTTTTATAAGCTCGTCTTTTCCCCAGTTCCCTTTCAAAGATTGACCCTAAAATATGCATGTTAAGTGACGAATACCTTGTTGTGATCATCATTCTTTCTAGCTGTGACATTGTGAAGAAAGGAGCATCATGAGAGTTTTCACTATCCATCCATCAACTACTTGCATAGTGACTGCCAAATATGTTGGCCTAGGTTTACAATGCTATTTTTTAACACATGACTGGTCCTCACATTCATGAATATTGTAAGATTGACCAGTTGTTTAGTACTTGTATTTGCCTTTTTCAAAGTAATGACTTGTAACTTTCCATCTTGTTTAAGGCATTTGATGCATACATCTTAATATTCTGCTGATGTGAAATTTTTGAAGAACTTTGTCTATGTTAGACAAGGTTACATGGTTTTCACTTTTCAGTGACCATCATATCTTATACAGTGTTGTTGCTTGAGATTTTCCCAGCATTTTTAGTAGTCCTTGTCAATAACCTATTTTTGTTAGGTATCCAGTTTTTGGGATAAACCATTTTCATGTATGCTGCAGTGCTGCATTTCTACCATTAGGGATGATAAAAATAATTAAATAAAAAAAAGGGTTCTGCTACACTCCGGTGTTTTGGAACTTGATCTACCAGAGTACCAGCTCTATTTTTGGGTATCAAAAATTGGAACCTGGGCAACTGGTTAACAACGGTTCCAATACCAAACTAGAATTTAATAATATGTTCTTTAAACCTAAATCCAATCCCAATTTGGGAAGAACAAAATATTGCATAGCAAATGAATCCCAAATCACAAAACAATCTAACCCCAAATCATGTAGTAGATTTTTATTGTGTTTAATGAATTGACAGCCAAGTTATTCAAATCTTTTAAATGACTGATACCCGCAAAAGATATTGGTACCCAGTGGTTTCAGTTCAGATTTTGAATAATCAGTTGCAACAGGTTCTGAATCTCTGAATTTTGAAAAGGTTGCTTTGCTCATCCCTACCTGCTATGGTTTTGTGAGATACTAATTTAGTTGCAGTGATAATGTCTTATTATTCACTTTTGGTTGAGATTTTCTTAACTTCTTGCCTTAGTGATTTTTACTAGCCATCAACAAGCAATTATGCATTCCCAGTATGGTAAACAAACATACCCACTACATCATACTATCATAGTGGAAAGCTTGAAGGTAGTGAAAACCATTCATAATGTACTCAAAATTTGAGTTGATATGTGATTTATGGCTTTTGTCATATTTTTATTGGTAGTGAACTAACAACTAATCTAGAAGTGTTACATACTTACATCAGATTCTTTTTTCTTTTTTGATATTCAACATATTAATTATGTCTTAGCTCAATTGTTTCTGACTTTCTTGTACATTATTGAGCATTGTACATAAATTGCTCAGCTCTTGTTGCTGAAAGTGAGAAGATGTTTATGCTGTTAAGTTTTACTTTGGTCTTACAGAATTTTAATTCAACAGCTTTTTTTTAATTATTATTTTATTGAATGAATAATAATTTTGCTGCTCAGGTCGTAGAAGCCAGAGCAAAGTGGATGCAAGAGCAACAAAAGCGAACCAAGAAAGATTCAGAATGGAACCATGCTGGCCTCTATTCTAGATTAAGTGCTGACTTTGATGATAATAGTACTCCAAGATCCACGCAGAATGAGCATTCAGAGACCTTTTCTTCCTGGACTTTTGCTTCTGAGCCTGCCACTTCTTCCACAGTGGATTCCGATGTGGAAAAACATACAAGTAATGAGCTGCAATTTATTGACAAGTCAATTATTGATGAGAAACAATTGACAGATACAGATGATAAGAACATACTTGCTGGCCAAATGTCCGAGAGACCTGTTTTAAGTTTTATTGATGATGATGATGATAGTGATGAGTGGCCTGAAGATGATTGCTTAGGACAAAGTGGAAGTCTTGTACATGTTGGAATTGCAGATGAGGTTTCTTTTAGCGATCTTGAGGATGATGATTGTTGTATTCCTGTTGTGTCAAAACCTTAGTATAAGGTGTGATTCTTTGGTTATTTGAAAGAGGATTACATACAGAATTACAGAGTATTAATATGGGATTTATGACATTTATCATCACACTGGCTGTAGTTCCCTTGATTGCTGGAAATTCCAATACTTGTGATTCCATGGCCGAGGTTGAAAGTATATGGTGTTCTTGACCTTCCCTTGCTTGATTATCGCCAAATGATCTATTGGTGAAGTTCTGTTTGTATGTAACCATTACAATACCAGTGTGCCAGCTTGACCAAACGGGCAGTTCTGGCCCTGGTGCTCTTGAGTGTGCAGATCTGTATATTTTTTTTTTTTGTACAAGATTGATGGAAGAATTTATCAGTTGCAATATGTACATTATTACGTCTCAATTGAAGCTGTGAAGCTCTGTAAGCTTATTCATTGCTTGCTTCCATTATTCAGTTTATGTTTGGAAGAAATTGTAAAGTTGTTTTTGTCTTCCTTTCCTCTTTTTGCAGAATTGCTCTTTTCTTCATGAAATTTTCATTCTCTGCCTATTACCTTTTGGCAACACCCACAATTTTGTAAACTAGTTGGGAGAATAATTGTCCGATTTGTCACTGATGAAAAGGTTAAAGTTCCAGCAAAACAGTATTAAAGTATGTATTTAACAATTCTACGGTTAAAGGTGATGTTTATTGGTAGTATTATTTTTTTTGAAAGGTAATATAACCATCACGGTTTTTTTTTTTTTTTTTTTTTTTTTTTTTTTTTTTTTTTTATATATTTTTTTTAATAATAAAGCTAAGATGCAATGGGGGTTAGGTACTTAGGTTCATCTTCTCCCAAGACCAAAACTTAATGTATCTAGAATTAAAAAGTATGAAAATTTGCTATCCATAAAGGGGTCGATATCTTGGTGTATCGAGGGGTTGAATAACTGAGAGAAGCAACATAATCTGCGGTTTGATATCATCTATAAGTAGATAAAACTTCCAATGACACTTAAAATGACCCTATTGATTAGTGTTAGATAATCAACTTCGATAAAAATATTGGAAATAGTGTCATCCCTAGTTATCAATCAATAATCAATAATTTGAGGTGTCAATCGGGTTTTCGGTTCAGTTTTGGGTTTGATTTATCGGTTTTCGGTTTGTAACGGGTCGGTTTTTTAACAAGTTGGAATTATTAACGGGTCAGTTCGGGTCGGTTCGGTTTGATTTATTTTTATTACAGTTTCTTTTCGGGTTGGATTCTAATCGGGTCGGGTTATAATTGGTTCGGGTCATAATCGGTTCTGGTTAAATTTGGTCGGTTTAAAAACGGGGTTTGTCAGTTTAAAGCGGGTTTTGGGTCAACACATATCGGGTCCTAATCGGGTCGGGTTGTAATCAGTTCAGGTTGTAATTGGTTCAAGTTGAACTCACCTAGTTTGACAACTAGTTTTGCTAGTTTTAAACGGGTTTCGGTAACATATATCGTCTAGTATATCCTCGATATTCTTTAATTAGTTATTCCAGTACATCATACGGAGTATTAATTAGTTGTTTAACTTTATGTCCCTTTTTTGTATAATGATTTTAAGGAACAACTAATAATAACAAATCTAGAGTTAGTTTTTGATTTAGATTTTTAATTTTTTTAAATACAATATAGTGTTCCATAAGCCATTACTCGTTAGAGGACGATAATATTGTAGCATAAGAGTTTCAATGACATCAAAATTCCAAACCTTTTCAATTTAAATACTTTATAGTTCAAATTAAACCCTTTTGTTTTACTAATGATAAAATATACGCCAAAAAAAAACAAAAAAAAATCTATGGTTATAACGGGTTACGGACTTACGGATTATAAAAGTTCGATTATAACTGATTACGGGTTATAAACGGTTCGATCATAACTTATTACGGGTTATAAACGGTTCAATCCTAACCAGTTACAGGTTGTAAAAGATTTGGGTTTATCGGGTTTTTGTCGGGATTAAATGGTTTTGATTTACAATGGGTCGGGTTGCTATCGAGTTCAAAAGTAATCGGTTTGGGTTGTTCTCAGTTTCGGGTTGTATCAGTTCGACTTGATATCGGGTACAGTTCATTAACGGTTCTCAAACATTCGGATCGGTTCAGTTTCAGGTTTTAAAAAATCGGGTCGGGTCGGTTTACGGTTTTAAAATAACAGGTTCTTAACGGTTTGATTCCTTTTCGGAACAGTTCAAAACAGTTTGGATTCATCAGTTCGGGTTGGTTTTTGACAGCTCTTAACATAATACTAAAAGAGAGACCAGGAGCGACACATGTCATCTCCTGGTTAATTTTTTTCTCTCCAGAAAGTTTTTCCATTTTTTTTTTAATTTTTTTTTTTTGGTGAAATCTTCCTTTTGAAGCTATTGTATATTTTAAAATATCTTTTCTATTTTTAGTTAACATGTTTCTTTCATATAATTATATACCTTTATTTATACTAGGTAGCCATAAATCATGATGAATTTTAATATGGTAATGAATTAAAATAATATTATAAATTAAGATTTTTATTATTTTATTTTATTCTTTTCTTAATTTTGTCATAATTATTAATTTTTTATTTAAATATAGTCAAATTAGTTTGCTAATAAATATATCAATCTTGCTAACGAGCGCCCTGGGGCGTTAGATAAGGATAAATTATATTGGTTGAAATGGTATTAAGTTAGAAATTCATGACAAAATCACGCGTCGTTCGGTGTAATTAATGTTAATTTTACTCTAATATTTGCACTTTATTTCTCTTATCTAACGCCCCGGGGGCGCTTATTAGCTTTTGCCTAAATATATATGGAGTACTATGTAGGGGTGTTAAAAAATATCCGGTTCGAAATATCCGATCGGAAAATCCGATGATCCGATCCGAAATTTCGGATATCCGATCCGATTTTTAAGGTTTCGGATATTTCGGATCGGATATCCGAAAAAAATTTCGGATTTTCTGATCGGATACGGATCGGATTTTATCCGAAAATTTTAACTACCCGATCCGAAAACCCGATATCCGATCCGAATATCCGACTACCCGATCCGAAAATCCGAGTATCCGATCCGAAAATTCGGATATCCGAAAATTTTGGATCGGATTCGGATTGCAATTTCTCCGATCCGAAAATTTCGAATATTCGAATTTTCGGATCGGTTCAGATCGGATATCCGAAATTGAACAGCCCTAGTACTATGTACATAACCAATCAAATTAAGTGAAACACAAATGTGACATGAAAAGTGAGATAGAGAATTTAAACCCATAAATTAGATAGATTAAGTGTATTATTACGATTAAAAGTCATTATAGTTCTGCACCCACAAAAAAGTGCTAAAGTTTGCAATGACGTGTCAAAACATGGTGCACAAGTCTTCCATCAATTTATTTTGAAATTAAAAAAAAAATTGAATAACAAATTTTTTTACATATACAGAGTACTTTTTTAAATTATTGTTTTTTATCTTAAATGTTCAAGCTAAGCAACACACGAAAGTTCGTGTATGAATATATCAGGCTCGATTCACTGTTTTTCCTTTTTCAGATGGAAGGTTTTTTTTCCTCTTCAGATGTTTTTTTTTTTTTTTTTTTTTTTTTTTTTTTTTTTTTTTTTGGTTAGATGGTAGTTTGTTTGTTTTTTAATGACAAAATTGAGAAGGGTATTTTGGGAAAATAAAATTTATCACTCAAAACCCTCTTTCACTTTATATATAGGATAACATATGTTTTTTATTTTTTTACTAACAAACCCATCAAAACTTTGGATGAAAGCTAAATAAGGTTAACCTTATTAACAATTTTTTATTTTTATTATTTATTTTTTTTATTTTTATTTCGTATACATAATGCAATATGTAATTTCAGCCAATCTATCAAAGTGATTATAATTTCAAAATATATAAGACATATTGTTATTAGTTAACCTTGTGTCGATCAAATTATTTCATCAATATAGGGATGGCAGAGTTATTAAGCAAGTACCAACATTGATATTTTTTGTCATGACTATTTTTATATAAAATATAATTCTCTTTTTTTTATACTACGATACATATTATAGTAAAACTTGTTTCGGGTATTTTTTGGATTTCCTCGGATACTGGTCGCGCTCTCCAGGCAATGAGACTCGGACACCTGCAAAATAAATGAATATTCCTTTATCGGAATATTCGCCTCCGACGATCAAGTTAGAGATGTGAACGGAAAAGGCTAAAGAGAGAAAGTAGAGAGAAGTTGGTGCTATTTAATGATCTTCTTTTTTAATGTAGTAATCCACCCCCCATCATAAATGATTGGGGTATTTATAAGGGTGGGAGTTTGTGCCCTCTTAGGGTTTGTACCCTAAAATTCTATGACGTGATTGGCTACGCAATCAGGCGGTGCCACGCGTAATACGGGGGCATCTTTTTGCGGCTTTCAAGGGCATCTCTCGGGATTTGGGCCATGATGTAACAAGTCCCTTTTTAATGCTGATTTCAGGTGCTCTTTTAAGCCTTTAAACAAGCTTCGTCTACCCATAGTGACACGTGTCGCCCTTTAACTGGGCCACGTGTTGCTACGGGATTGGCCCTCGCACATGAGGTATTTTTACCCTAAACACCTTTGACACGCGTCATCTTCCCATAGTGACACGTGTCTCCCTTTGGTTGGGCCACGTGTTGCTACAGATTGGACCACGTATATTGGGTATTTTTACCCTAAACATTTGTCCCTCAGATGGGGTGGCTCGTACGCTAACGGCCGCCTCCTCTGATATTTCGCTTGTCTTGGAGCGTACGAGTACATGGAGATTGGCCATGTTGCTGAGAAGGCGAACATATTGGTCCGCCCTCATAAAGCTGGCCGCACTCGGCTGATTGACTGTCTTGTCCGCCTGAAATCTTTCTAGGGGACGTTGAGTCTGGTATTTAAGCGTCCAAACTATGCCACCTGGGTTTTCGGGGGTGAGCTCGGACGCCCGGATTTTTAGGATGAAGATCTCGATTCCGTTTACTTTGACCGTCTATTTAGATGTGCCGTTGTCCATCTCTTCCACTGTTCAACTTAACAGAACTGTCTTTTCACCCTTTTAAATTCTAGGTTAAATTTTTAAATAATAACCGTTTGAATTTTGAAGGCGGGAAAGGTGAATTTACCATTATGCCCCCATAAATTATGCTTATATACAGTGGGTTTGACCTCATTTTTGCACTTTAGAGCTTTGCGAATTTTAGAGAGAGATCAGAGCTTTTTAGAGAGAGAAAGTGTTTTTTTCTTTGAATCTTCAATAGCTCTGCCGTGTAATTGAGTTTTCCGGGCATATTTTTTGAGTTTTCCGGTCAACTTTCAAGACTTCTCAAGCACTCCTAGAGTTTTTTTACACGTATAGAGGTAGGCCGCCTGTTTTCTTTCCCTTCTTTACTTGTATTATTTTTCTTTTGTTATTATTTTTTAAATCTGGCTCAACACTCGGCTTCGTCCGTTTCTCCTTATGAGGCGGGCCC